TCTTGTACTTTCTCTTATAGAAACTGAAAGAGAATCACAGACCCAATATAGCAGTATTCTCTCTCACTTGTTTACAGACCTGTTTGGCCCAGAGACAACTTCAGGCATTGCCTTCTTCACCTCACTTTGGGCCTAATTACACAGTTATTCTTTCCCTAATCACTGGCAAATACTGCAACTTGTATTTCTGCATGGTCATAAACATGTTATAGAGCGTATGATGATGATGGTGATGTAATAATATATGCTAACACATGCCTAACATGATGGTGATAGAAGGGTCATCTTTTGCAGGGATCCATAGCCTTTTTAGATCCATGGGCTCTACCATAAATAATTCTCCCTAGAGGTTGTGTCTAATCCCATCATGACTGCCTGGCAAGTCAAAAGAGGTTGGAAGGTGAAGCAGTGAGGGGAGAGGCTGGAAGGAAAGGGGAACAACAAGGCAAATGGGAGATAAAGAGCAAAGCTTGAGGCTAGGGTGGGGAGAAAAAGTAAGGTGAAGAGGCTGAGGAGAGAAAAAATATCTAGGCCTGAGGCTGGGAGTGGAAATAGCAAGATAAGGAGGTGGGTGGAAGAGGGCTAGGGGTGGAGATGGGAGAGACAGGGGTTAGGACAGAGGAAGAAAGAGAGAAAGCAAAGGTTGATGGAACACAAGATGATGGAATGGGGCCAAGAAGCTCTGCTCTGCTCTGCTCTCCTCCTCCTATTTACTGTTCAGCAGCAAGTTTAGAAACATGAAGGTCCTCATGTTTTTCAACAATTTCTTTTAGTAAAAATAAATTTCTGAAGGGGGGCATGGAAAGCTTTGCAAGTGCTATTGGAAGTCCTCAGAGAAACTGCACACAGGGCCCCTGATATGTTATCTCCATTCTTTAAGTGTCATGGCCATTGGCAACAGCTTAAAAGGGTCAATGTTTATTAGCCTTGCCTCCCCACCACATCTGTTGAGCCTGCCCATGGCCCTACCATTTTCAATTGCCAGAAAGTTCCATGGCTCTTTAAACAACTCTTTCCATTCTCTCCCCTATACTCAACTCCCAGTATGTCTACAGCAGCTTTTCCAACCTAGTGCCCTCCAGGTATTTTGGACTTCCAAGTTTCACTCAGCTGCAGCCAAGTGGGCCAGTAGTAAGGAATGCTGGGAGTTCTAGGCTAAACCATCTGGAGGACACCAGATGGGATGCCTTGGTCTCTTCCTTAACATCCTTCTTCAGTATTCTCAACCAATGATGAAGCACTGCATCTTCATGGCTCAAGTCTGACTTTCCAAGCACATTCTGTTGTGCTGATAGAAAACCCTAATGAGATACTTTGAAGTTAACTGACTTATGAGAAGCTCAATGAGTATTGTTCTTCCTGTCACCAACAGAGAGTATATCTAGGCATATTAGACCCCACTCTCCAGACTAACCTCACTGTTTGAAGGTAGATACTGTCTACTGCCAGAAGGAGGAAGAATACTTCTGAGTAGAATCCACAAAACTGCCACTAGAAAATGGCTTTAAATGACAAAGAGTATGCAGCATAAAACCTGAGTTTGATTCTCTGGCACATCACTTCTTGTGCCCTTATTTTCTGTTGCACTTAATGAAACAACTACTGCAAAGCAGGTTTCCCTAACATGGTACACTCCAAATATTTTGCACTTCAACTCCCACCAGCTCCAGTAAGCACTGGAGAAGTAATATAAAACATCTGCAGAACATCTGGTTGCAGAAGGATGCTAATATATAGGTTGACTGAAATGTATCACTATAAGGTAAATTATATAAGGTATGCATTCATAATGCAGTCCAGCCCATGGACGAGGAGATTTTTTAAAAAAAATTCTGCAGATTTGCCAGTATAGGCAGCAGGGGTGTTGCTAGGAATTTAAAAGTTCTGGAAGCCTAGTCTTTCCATTGGCATGTGGAAGGAGGATTTTGCAAGAGTGGGACATACCCAAGGGAGGGAAGGGTTAGCTGGTGTGGCAGCTCATGCCCCCTGTATGGAAGCTAAAGTTATAAAAAGAAATCTCATTGGCAGCAACATATTTTTCAGCTTAACTGCCATGGAATGACCTTCCTACTGGCACTGGTGAACACTTTGGGCTCTGCACAACAGACACAGGAACATGGAAAATAGATTTGAGGTCAGGGCCCTATGAACCTAGGCCAAGCAATGTCCAGACAGGCATTCCAAACAACAAATGAAATGAGAACAATTTGTGTGTGTGTGTGGCAATAAGGTGGAAGGGGGGAGTTCGTGAGAAATGGGAATAAGAGAATGAGAAATAAATGAATGTGGAGACTGAAAGAGTCTTAGAAAATTGAGAAGGAATAATAAATGGAGTTGTGAGAGAACTAGTGTGAGGTAAAAGGCTATGGTAAGAGCAAGAGGTCCTGAGGCACTGCAACCAGCAATTGAAAGTGAACTGAGAAAGCCCACCTATTTATAAAATGGAAAGGGGAATGGGGCTCCCGCCAAACATGCTAGGCTTAGCTAAAGGAATCTTCCCAAACATGGCACTCTGCAGGCACAACACCCATGTGTGATGCACAAAAACCACAATGAAGAACCTAGGATGTATAGCTTGAAAAGTCTTTTAAGTACAAGCTTGCCCTAGGATGGAGAGGAAGAAAAGTTTCTCGCTTTCTCACAGTACTAGAGCTTGGGTTCATCCAATGCTGGGAGATTTAAGGCAGACCAAAGTAACTCCACATACAGCATATAATTAAACTATAGCATCTGTTTCTCAAGATGTAGTGATATCCACCAACTTTAAAGTGAATCCTACTTGTTGGGGGGCATGAGCAGGAGGGTGCTACTGCCCTCATGCCCTGCTTGCAGACTTCCCTTAGGCACCAGGTTGAACACTATAGAACACAGGATGCCCAACTAGACAGGCTTTTGATCTGATCCAGCAAGGCTCTTCTTATATTTTTAGAGTAAAAAAAAGCATTAAGTAGGTGGTAAGAAAGAGAAACACATATTAGCTATGTGGGACAAATATGCCTATATATTCATTACAGAATCAAAAATATACTTCACCCAAATTAAAAATTCAGCACATGTTCAGTTTACTGAAATGTTTACCTTCAGGGTCTTTACCCAGGGCTATTCACACACACACAAACAAACCCCTTCTGAAAAACATATAAAACGTGCTGGAAGAGGGTGATACTCTTTGTCAAACAGATTGAACTCCTGGTACCACATATGTTGTACCCAAGGCATACAAAACTTGCATTACTAGCAGATGCTACCATTTCACATCTTTTTTTCTTTTATTTCAACCCACTTAAACCATTTTAGTACCTCAAAATCAGTACTTTTTTCCACTGCATAAATGTCCCTAAAAAGATATTCATTCCCAATCATGCAATCATGTGCTTAAATTTTATAGGTTCCTATATATAACTGATAACTCAAATAAGGTAAAACAAATGTTTATTCATGAGGAATAATGCAAAAATTCCTACCAACAACCTTACACGGCAACTAACCTACAGTTTACAGTTTATTACAATCTACATAAAATAAAGTTATCTAGGTATTGTACAAGGCAAATTAAAATAGACACTATAAACTACAAAATAATCACTAACAAAAATATAACCAACAGACATACCAACACAGTACAAAATAAAACACAGCTGAGATCACTAAAACTATCATTAGGTACAAGAGCTAAAACCATGCTACAGGGACAAGGATAATGGATCTTAAACATGAAGAAATACTAAAATACTTAAAAGAACTACTCTATTTTTATTGCCAATTCCTCTTGTTAGGATGAATATCCCAGCTTTCTTTTTTTTTTTTTAATCACAACTCTGACCATCACGGTTACAAAGATGATCCTGAAGATATCCTTTAAAAAGTACCAGAAGACAAGAAATACAATGGTAACTAATCTGCCCCCACCCCCACAGATATTGTGTCTAGGTTACCAACTTTTTCTTAATAGGTGCCAAAAGCTCATACACATTTGAAGTTAAGTAACTACAAAATTAGATCAATATGTAAATAGTGGAGATTTAGATCTGTATCTTTATAAATAATAGGAAAACAATGGCAAATTACTTAAGTACAAATTAAAGCACTCTCCAGTTCACAGTCTCCAACTGGACCCTTCTGTGTGACACAAAATAATGTTTATTTGTTGCCTAGCAACTACTTCCCTTCTTTAGCTTTATGCAAATACATGCAAAAGGCTCAATCTGCATGGGGGAACCAGAATGGGTTGAGAGGTAAGAAGAACAAGAATTGACCTGCTGCACCCACTCTAGAGCAAAACTGAAAGGTAAAGCAGAAAGATATGTCTGCTACACACAGATTTAAAGTAATATCTGCTTTGACCATAAATTTACCCAACCATAGCACATTTTGGTTTTGCTCTTAACTTCATATGTTTTGTAATAGTAGTAGATTTAACATGATACTCCATAACATGTTTTCACAAACCTATTACCAAGAATCACATGTAACAAAAAACTAACATTCCTATGAGAATGCAGGAGAAACTCCAGGAAAGACCTATCTGTTTAATATGAGATTCCTCCCTCACTATTCCTATGAAGCAGCTTTGGCTCAGGCTGTTCATGCTTTTTGGCTGTGGCTAAGCTTAAGCTGGTTTTGTTAAAAGTTTTCAGTGATGGCGATTGGAAAAAATCAAGTGGTTAACCATAAAGGGAGAAAAGTAGAACCTAAATCCTGAACTTGCTGAATTTCACAAACCTATCGTGGCCAACAAATTTGTGTGTGTGCATGCACATGTAGCTTTTCAAAATCTTGAACTTTTAGAAAAAGAAGCAAATCTTGCTTTCTAGACAAGAGAGATATAGCTCACTTCCACTGCAACAGCTAGAGAGTTAAGAAGAGCCCTGTATTTAATTGGATATCTCTGGCTGTTTTATTTTAAAAGTGTCTTTGAGACTTCATTGAGATGCTTAAAAATCCATTCATGTGCATACATAGAGAAAACAAGTACAGAAATCAGAAGGTGCAACTCTTACCTGAAAGAAACCTGGAGGAATGGGTCCCCCTGGCATCCCATCGTTTGGAGGAATGTTTCCAAGTACTGGACTTGGTGCTGCAGCTGCACTCTGTTAAAAACACAAATATAGAAACAAATAAAATACACAAGTAAATCTGTAGTTTCAGGTCAGCTAAAAACAAGAAAGAAGCCAACACATATCTCACGACTCTATCAGTGAGTGCAGGACCAATTTCATCATCATCAAGGCTACCAAAAAGAAAACAAGCTTCTATACTTGGTATTATAAGAGAGTCTTGTTAAGACTGATAAAAGGCCAATGGTTGCCATTGAGAATAATCTGCAACTGGGATTCTGGTTCTTTCATCACCCAAACAAATATATGCAACACCGTAGCAGCTTCAAAAACAAAGGAATTCAGAAGTGTACTTTTGGTCAAAGGGAATGGCAAGTTCCTGTACTTGAGCAGAAGACTGGCTGAAGACTGATGCCTCAACTATTATGTCTGGGCTCTTGCTCAGCATACAGTATAGCCTAGTACATATAGCCTAGCTCAGGAATAGCCCTTCCTCTTGTTCTGATTAAAACAAAAACCTCTATAAATTTCAGTACTGGTTGTCAATGTATCTCAAGAGCATCAGTTTCAAATTAAATTCCCCACAACATATTACTGTCCTTCTTGACAAAGGAATATATCTCCACAAGTCTGAATATAATCAAAAAGACTTAGCTGTCTTAAGTGTTTAACATTTCATTTATTTATTACATTTCTTCACCGTTCATCAGCTCAAAGGCTCCCTGGGCAGTTTACAAAATTGGAAATACCATAATTAATATAAAATACATATAAAAGACACATATAATGAAAACACAATAATCCCATTAATAAATACCATAATATAATACAGCCCAATACAAAATCCCACCACCACCACTGCAGCTAAACTCATTCTGAGGTACAGTAAAATATGGTAAAAATGAAGGTAAAATATTGTGTAAATAAAAAGGGTTTCACCTGATGCCAAAAGGAACAGGGAGTGAGTGCCAGGTGCACCCCTTTAGGAAAGTGATTCCATGGATGGGGTGCCATAACTGAGAAGGCCTTCCCCTAGCAGGCACCGTCCTTGCTTCCTTTAGAAGGGGCTTCTAAGAAGCACCTCCACTGATGTTTTCAGGGTTTGGGCAGGCACACAAGGAAGGTGGTGTTCCTTCAGATAGCCTGGCCCCAAACCTTTTAGAGCTTTAAATGTTAATGTTAGCATTTTGAATTGGCCCGAGCCCAATGTAGTTGATAGAGAATTGACGTGCTATATTTGTATAGGCCAGTCCCCATTAGTAGCCTCACTGCTTTATGTTAAACCAATCCAAGTCTCTGGCTGTTTTTTTTTCAAAGGCAGCCCCACACAGAGTGCATCACAGTAGTGCAAAGGACAGGTTACCAGAGTGTGGATCAGTGTTGCTAGGCTCTGCCAGTCCAGATAGGGTCATATCTTGCAAATCAGTCTAAGCTGATAAGTGGTGCTTCTAGTCACTGAGTCCACCTGTGACTCCAATGGTAATTCAGAATCTAGGAGCACTTCCAGACTATGAACCTTTATCCCTTGGGGACATGACAGGATGAATATTCAATGCCATGTTTTATGAAGCAGAATTATTATAAAAAACATTTAAAGTACAGGCATGCAAAAGTATTTTCTATTTCGCACCTTTGTATTCTCTCCTCCCTTTCTCCAAAAGAAGCTCAGAGCACCACAGATAGTTTGTGATATAGGCTCAAGGCCACCTAGTAAGGTCTTATAGCTGAGCGAGATTCCCACATACAAAGCCAGCACTTTAGCTGCTCCACCACAATGGCACTCAAATTTCCTTCTCCTCCCATAAATATTCCATGGATTTCTAGTGACCAAGTAGATGAAGGGTTTTAGTCAATGTCCTCATTTGATCTTTGGCACTACTTTATGATATTTATATGGTTTTGGGGGAGAGGGCTTACCCATTAATAGGCCCCAGCATAATTTGTTCATCTTGTCTGAAATAAGACATGAACAAGGCTAGTAACCAAACCAGTAATAAAAATTAAATAACATACTTTTACAGTAGTTTCCTATTCCAACATAAATAATAGCAAGCTCTACAGCTTGGTTTTGCCCAGTGAAGAGCTTGGTTCCCCTGTTCAGACTCTTTTACCAACTCAATTCAAGTCTCCGCCGAGGACCAGAAACCACCTGTTAGTACCACGATGCATATTCCTGCTTGACATAATATTTACTCTTTTGTTTTTTTATTTTCCAAGGGGAAATAAAAAGATAGCAAGTAGCAAGACAACATCTTGTGCATGGAGGAAAGTCACAACACAAAAGCTGTGGATGAAGGGGAAGAAATAACTGCTGTATGAAGCACATGCTACATCAGCAGCAAAAGTAAGGAAAGAAGAATCAAATTTTGACTTTTAAAATTTTGACTCCACTTCCAGCTTCCACTTGTAAAAGCAAATAAGCTTTTAAAATTAAGATTTAAAATAATCCATCACCCTTTCAGCACATACTTCTATGCCCTTATCTAGTTCACACAACTCAAAGGCCTAGTTGAAAACGAGCAACACATGGCACATGGGTGCACTGCCTCTCACCTGCTTGCAGCATCTGCTTTACAAAACAATCTAAGGCTAAATAACCCAGGAGCATTGCCCCCCACCCCTTTTTCCACTTCTGTTTTTTCAACAACCTCAATTGCTGGTCACAATGTCTGAACTTGTCACTCTGGATTGTTAAAGATGAAGCATCTTAGAATTTGAACCAATAGTCTATTGCTGGGTTAAAATTCTGATTGTTTATCTTGCAACAAGCCAGAGGGTTCAGGCATCACAACTAACCATCCAGGGTGCGTGCAAACAGGCCCTATGTTGAATAAATGAGACATTTGTGACTAGGAGTAGGTGAACATTTTCTTCCATTCATACAGATAAGCCAAATGTGTGTTTCCCAAACCTATAAAAATCTGGAATGGTTGCATGTTCATGAATAATGTGATATAGTTCATGAATAAAAAATAAAATCAGAAATGAGCATAATGGGAAAAAGCAGTGAAAGTATGTAAAACAGAGGAAAGTGTGCACAAAAATGTATATATTAGGGGAATGCTAACAAAAGATCACTTAGAAAGTCTGTATATTTAGGAAAGTGCCTACAAATGCATACATTTAAATAAATGCGAACAAAAATGTGAATTTTTAGTGCTTAAAAAATTGCAAACTGATGCAAAAATGAGATGAACTTGAGTACTATCGAACCTGGCAGATTTCTCCATTCATAGTTGGAGTTTGCTAGACTGTAGAGCTTGAGGAACTGTAAAAAGAATCACATTTTGTGCTACATTGCCTCAATTGATCACTGGCAATAGCCTTATCAAGTGGCTATACTTGCTACCTACAATTTAATCAGTGGGCTCCATCAAGTCATCATGTTGAAAAAATAATTGTAATAAAATATGAGTGGTAGGGCTTGATTGTACATGTTGCTGTAATTCCTCTGTTGTCATCTGTTTTACAGCCTTCAACTTAAGTGCTAGCCTGATAGCTATAAGCAACCAAGAATTATAAACAGAAAGGTAAGTGGGCTGGTGAAAGAGGTATGAAGAACTCTACCCCTCCTTTCTGATTAACACATAAACCAAGTAGGCTACTGGAAGAGGTAAGCCATCCTCTGCATCCAGAAGAGAAATGCAGGTGGCCATCCTTCTCTGCCAGCCCCCAACAGTCCAGTAACTTTTGTGGGCTTATTTACAAGGCTGTTAACAGATGTGACCCAGGACTGCAGAATTTAAAAATATAGCCATGTGAAATTCACTAAAACCAAATTTATATTCCATGAGAATGAACTTTCATCTGTGGGGACATCTTTATAGGGCTCAAAACCCACGAAAAACGTATGGAACCACTAATTAATGTCTGGTAGGTGTACTAAAGCATTAGTACCCACAGAAGTCTCACTTGCCACCCCCTTAGAAAATCTGCCTACCAAGTAGACTTGTTCATCACAAATTCTGATATACAAAGGCTGAAAATGAAGAAAGGATTAATTACTACATTTATACCACAGTAACTTCACTTTTATTAATAAATGCATTTCCATTCTTCATTGCTGAGAAGCTGCAGTTTGAAACAACATGGCTTGTAAAAGAAGCACAAGTGGAAAGCATATAATTTGTTTCGGTCTGACAAAATCTTAGTCACAAAAATGGTACTTCCCCCTAAGTTAATTACCTATTTATTTTTTTCCTGAGATTATGACTGATAAGGAGATTCAGAATGGCCATTTCTGAGTAATAACAAATGCAATGACAGAAAATTTATGTATAAGTGAAGTTGGTTTACATGCATGTATACACACAACAGCTTAGGACAGCCTTCCCCAACCTAATGCTCCCTCATGTTGGGCTGCAACACTTATCCTCAGCCAGCAAGCCAATGTATGTCCATGCTGGCTGTGATGATGGAAGTTGTAGTTTAACACATCTGGGCAGCTCCAGACTGAGGAAAGTCTGGTTTGGCAGTTTTAGATCTTAAAGTATCTTTTTCATTAGGCAGAAGCACTAAGTGTAAAAAGAATTCAAACAAATTCAAATCTATTCGTGTTTATTTGCCTCAAAATGTCTACCTCAGTTCAGCGGTCATTGTTCACTGAATCACTTTGTCTGATAAAAAATGGACTAAACAACTGATGCCATTTCCCTGCTTGCATCATTTATTGACCATTCTGGCAAAGGAGTGAATGCCTTCCTTCCCGAAAAGGAGAAAGGCATTTTCTGCTTTACAGTTATAACTAATTATGGCTTTGCTTTTCTCTTTAACAGCTTAAGGTGACTTAGTATTAGTTATTATAGGCCAAACATTTTATAATTAGCCATAATATTTTAACACACATTAATGTGCACACATTTCACGTGATCGTTAAGTCCTGTGCAAGTTGTGTCTATCCCTATTCAGTATGCAAAAACATTCATTTTAAGGTCTCACAAATGTTGGCCAGATTGCAAATACCAAATACATCTTAACATTAGTTCTTTGAATTTTTTGTAACTCTAGAATCCTATTTTGGTTACTTAGGTTTA